ATATATATATATATATATATATATACACATATAAACATGAGTGGAGTAAAGAGAGAAAGGAGAGGAACAATGAACAAAGGAGGAGAATCAAGAGCAATTTCTAGTAGTCACGAGGGCTTTACAAGTCGATGGGATTTCAAATCAATTGAGCATCGCTGTATTACTGCATTATATGGACGTTCTCGCCTACCTGTGCCAAGGCTGAAGGATCCATCAAAACAAAAGACGATTGGCCAAGGACTCCAGAGAGAACTTCTCTACATCTCGAAGTAAAGTTAAGGATGAGAAAAAAAGGGCGAAGACGGGGAAGAAACTGATAAGGAAGAAAATGAGGAGGACTGGAAGGATAGATAGAATTGGAAGGGTAGAGAGGCCAGGTGGAATCCAGAAATTCCTTCACAGCAAATATTCCGAGAGTTGCTCGTGACTCTCCTGAGACGTTTCTTTCTGATTTTTCCATTATCTCTCACCCTGCTGTTTCTGCGCGCTTCTCTATCCGCCTACATTTGACTGTGTGTATACGATATATATATATATATATGCTCATTGGTACCATTGTACTTTCATGAATTATAAAACAAATCCAAATACTTACGTTTCCTGGCATTCAACTTTAGCTTCCTGCTTTGACCTTTTTCCGATGTCAATAAAAAACGTATCATACCTTTTTAAAAGTTTTTGCTCTACTATTTTAATATATCCCACACGGAGAGCATTTTTCAATAAATATTACCAAAAATGGCTGGATCAAGAAAATATGACAGTGATTGGGTATTTATTTGAAGCATTTCATTCTCTATAATTCTTAAATCTATAGATCTTTCGCTACAGATCTACACTGCACCTTCGTTCTTCATCAAAATCATTAATTACAGCAATACTTCAACGAACGATTCTCGTTTCAAAATATGCAGCAAAATATACGTATTAGTCACTGAGCAGTTGTTTATAAAACTAGGATATGCCATAAATTACTAAAACTGATTTATTCGCATATTAATCACTGGATTTATTATCTATCTCGAAGTCACGCACTATTAATACTATGGTTACTTACTGATATTGCTGTAAAATTGACTAATCAGGATCATTCCAACTGTGCCTCATTATTCAGAATATAATGGATTGCATGTAACTGGCAAGTCGAATAAAAACAATTGAACGAATAAGAAAATTTCTACTAACAAGGAAACCCCCTCAACCCGACCCCACCGATTTCAATAATTTTTTGATATGTTGTAGTACTCGACAAAATAAGAGACACGTATTTTTTTGTGTGCTGACATCCACTTTAAAGGGGTGAAAACGACCCCTGAAATTCACCCCCAAAAATCGTTTTTTTATCATATCTCGACTTCTAATTAATATTTTTTAATAAAACCAAGTGGAAAATATTTGTCATAAGAAGTCGAAGATATGAGGTATGTTTATGACCCAAGGGGTTGGAACCCTTATTTTATATTTTGAAAAAACTATATTTTTTATGCTTTTTTCTGCATAAAAACCGGGGTATGGGCTCAAAAAAATAAAGAAAAGCGTTTCCGTTAACTCCATCAAATATTTCAGTTGGGGTGTTTCAGGATTTTTCAAAGGGATAAAAACCACCCCTAAATTTTACCCCCGAAAATTGTTTTTTATCATATGTCAGATTCTAATTGATATTTTTTATTAAAAAAACGATTTTCGGGGGTGAATTTCAGGAGTCGTTTTCACCCCTTTAAAGTGGATGTCAGCACAAAAAAAAATACGGTGTCTCTTATTTTGTCGAGTACTACAACATATCAAAAAATTATTGAAATCGGTGGGGTCGGGTTGAGGGGGTTTCCTTGTTAGTAGAAATTTTCTTATTCGTTCAATTGTTTTTATTCGACTTGCCAGTTACATGCAATCCATTATATTCTGAATAATGAGGCACAGTTGGAATGATCCTGATTAGTCAATTTTACAGCAATATCAGTAAGTAACCATAGTATTAATAGTGCGTGACTTCGAGATAGATAATAAATCCAGTGATTAATATGCGAATAAATCAGTTTTAGTAATTTATGGCATATCCTAGTTTTATAAACAACTGCTCAGTGACTAATACGTATATTTTGCGTTTTCATATAAAAATATCATTACGTAAAATGGTTCAAACTTATGTGATTTTATGTATGTCAACATTTCAAAATTATGTGATTTTATGTAATTTCAAATACACGGAGTATCTATGTATCTATGTATCTATGTATCTATGAGTATGTGGAGTATCTATGTAAAATTTGAAGGACTACAAAAAATCTGTAGTCAATATATGCAAATATCAGTAAATGTAGTGGAAATTGAAAGTGTGAAATTGAATATAAACCTGCAAGTGCATCAGTGATTTGACAATTGTATGAACTAGCATTGAAGCTACAGGAGAGGAGAGGAGACAGCAAACCTCTAGGGAATTCAAGTTGCGCGACATGTTATTGCGTCATGGGTATGGCCTGGTTATAAAAATATGGAAATACGGTAGAGTGAGATAAGAAAAAGAAAATGTTTTTGCACTCGAGAAAGAGAAAATCCTCTACAGCGAAGAGTAGGAAGCAAAGAACGGTGAGTTGGAAAAATGTTCCTTTACCTAAAATGTGCAAAGCGGCAAGCGTAGACGTCGCTGTTTTATCCTCGAGCTGGAAATTCTTGGTGGGCGAATGTTTAACAAAGAGGAGTGGGGGAAAAGGAAATGGGAATGAGAGAAATCAGGAAAGAGGAATGGCAAAGACAAAGGAACTGCTTCAATGAGAACAAGTCAGCCGTCATTGTGAAAATCTTGGTGACAAATAGTTGAATAGGTGTTTGTTGTATATCGCCATATTGTGGAGCGCGAATACTTCTGTTGGCGAAAACTTTGAGAATTAGTGAAAGGTGAGCAGTATTACTACTTTCAGTACGCTATTGTTATGGATGATTTCGTATGAATGGCGCGGGACATTTTTTTTATGGATATTCTGGGTTACTCTTCTAATCTGTAATTTCCTTTTCTGATGGGATACTGTGTGCGTGCGCGCGCGCGCCCGTGTGTGTAATACCAACATTATATAGAAAGGCTTTGAATGAGTCAAATACATTTTTTGCACGATCGTAAGTATAGTTCGATTTTTAGGAAAGTGTACTTTTTTTCATACTGTTTGTAATGTAAAAAGTACAATTTACGCACTGAAAATCGAATGTTACACATGAACTTTGCTCACGGCCGTACAAAAATAGCGTGTGCAACTCGTGCGTGACTCTTTTTCATTCGCATGTTCGCGACAAGACTCATCGCCAGTGGTGCCGGCGAATTGTATGCGACGATCACGGCTCGTGAAAAAAAGTTCATTTGCATACTATAGTTGCATAATATACTATAGTCACATTGCATTCTGTGCCTCGACTTTTTGCATACGAAGTTTCCTCACTCTGAGCTCTTGGCCACGTGAATCACTCGCATATAGAAAAAAAAAAGGTGCTACTGGCGTGATCGCAACACGTGACTTTCTTATCACAATTGTTATTGGCATCACGTTACGGTTGTGAAATTACTTGATGTTAAAAATTGGGTGATGTAGACTTGACATAGAGAATTCTTTTAGTTTAGTCAGTTTTTTATCGAGTTGTATCTATTGTATCTACGTCTAGGTATTGACGTATACTGAGGACACTTTTCTGTTGGCTCTCATAAAACTGTTCAAAAAAAAGATCTGTACACTGCAGACTAGAGCATAGTAATTTTTTAATCAGACTATCGATAGACATTTTTTTTAATTTTTCACATTTCAGGTAAAGTGCGAGAACGGATTGGTGTATTGGTGTCAATTACAATACCAAAACTACATTTTATACATAGAAGACACGCAACAAATTTCATTGCGATCCGTAGCCTCTTTGGAAAGTTAATGTGTTTTCGGACAGAATTTACCACAGATAGACAGAAATGAGTGAATGCTTTTTTTGGAATCTAGGACCCTCAAAACATGTATTTCCATCAAAATCTGGGAGTCGATTTTTTTTTTGAATTGCAATACTTTTTTACATACTTTGTATATGATGAGAAAGTAAAAATACGGTCGCTCCTTAACATTTTAAAAATCAAACGGCATCACTTTTATAATAAACTGTAGAACCAGACGACAGCGTTAGATGTTTTGCTTATATGCAGGGTGTCTTACGACTTATTCCCCAATGGGCATTGGCATATTCTCCGTTGAAAATAGAACAAAACGCAATTTGCCCGAATGAAATCGGTTGCAGCGTTCTCGAGAAAATAAATATTAAAAATTTAGAAATATCATCATTTTAACCCTCAAGGTACGGACTATAAAAAAGTTACGTTCAGTACGGACATGGGTTAGCCTCACCCGACGACTTTGATTAGTTGTATATCGAGCTGTACTTTGTCAATCAAAATAATTTTTTTTTCATTTTGTGGGAAATTGTCTCAAAAATATGATAGCATTGTCAGATTAATCATTTTACGAATTGTTAAAAAGTTATAATTAAAAATTTGAACGGGTCTCGAAAATTTTTTGTAAAAAAACGTTTTTTTTTCAAAACGCTGTAACTTTAAAAAAAAGAAAAGATATCGGCATTTTATAAGTCGCGTTTGAAAGGTGAAAAGTTGTTCTTTAAAATGGCCGAAACGGTTTTTTGATCCATTCCAAAAACTATTTTTTTTTAACTATGAAAATACGCGTTTTTTCGAGATAGCGAAAAAACGTTGTTTCATTGATTTATGATAATAACGGTTAAAAATAAGTACTTTGAGCGCAAAAAAATTATTTCCTACATGTTGTTAAATAGTATTATATAAATAAATATCAAAAATAATTTTTTAAGACGAATGTTTATTATATAAAGTTTACAAAAGTTGCATTACACAGTATTACCGTATTCGCAGTATATTTTCGCTACGTGTTCTTTACACATAGCTTTTTTTCTTTCTTCCTCGTTTTCTCTATATAACTCCTCCAGAGCAGCAACGCTTCGAGTTATTCGACGCGTTGCTATTTTTTCAACAAGTATTCTGTAATCATAAATTACAGGAAACAAAATTTAACAAGTTGTAATTCACTACAAGTAGCAAAGATTTCGATATACGACATACATTCAAGTGATCGAGATCTACTAGAACGCATTATTTTGAGGTTAGAATCGACAAAATTAAAGTAAAGAGTATGTAATCTTATTTACCTTAATATTTTCCAGCAATAAATAGTCAAAAACAAAACTTTTTATTTTTCCAAAATTCGGATTTTGTCACGTTCAGTACGGACTGGGTGTACTACACCCGACCTCGATTTTTATGTGTCTAGCTCGAACACAAAGCGGAACTGACTCTGCCGCTTGGGACTCGAATAGTGTATACCAAAAAGTTCCCCCCCACCGGTCCGGGCCCCCACCTCCGACTTCCTTTTTAATAGGGCTACTTTCAAAATTCGCTCGGGTTACGCTAACCCAGTCCGTACCCTGAGGGTTAAGTAAGTTCCAATCATCACCAAAAGAAAACAATAGCAGTAGAAAATGAAATTGGCGGGCGTTTGCGTCTGTGAATACATTCACTCATCATTAGACTATGACTTATCGAACATGAGACATAATGATATTTCTAAATATTTAATATTTATTTTCTCGAGAACGCTGCAACCGATTTCATTCGGTTGCATTTAGTTCGATTTTCAACGGAGAATATGCCAGTGCCCGTTGGGAAATAAGTCGTGGGACACCCTATATATTAAATAGAGCTCCGGCAGAAGGTTTAACGTCAGCCCAGCTGGCGACCAGGGTGTTCACGAGGGTTTCACATCGACTAGACAGGATGCGTAGCCGAGGATTCAGTTCCAGGATACTCTACCTGGTGGCGTTCACGTTTCTGGACTCTCTAGCTGATGAGAACGAGGAGGAGCTGAAGAAACTGTTGAATCTGCCCCATACTATAATCAAACAGATCTTGGACGGTTCTGTCAAAGATGAAATACTGGACAAGACGCCAGGCTCGTCCGCGGAATACGAGTTCGTCGTAATCGGCGCCGGAGTCGGTGGTGCCACCGTAGCCGCTAGACTCTCGGAGATCCCGGAAATTAGCGTCCTCCTGTTTGAGGCTGGAGGAGAAAAGAACGCCCTGATGGACATTCCTCTTTTGGCCCACTACCTGCAGTTCCCGAGCTTCCTCAACTGGAAGTACGAGACCGAGCTTTCGGACACGTATTGCCTGGGGATGAAGGATTGAAAATGCAAATTGTCCAGGGGAAAGGTGATGGGCGGAAGTAGCGTTCTTAATTACATGATAGCGACGAGGGGCAACAGGAAGGATTACAACCGCTGGGCTGACCTGGGCAATAACGGCTGGTCCTACGACGACGTTTTGCCTTACTTCAAGAAGCTGGAAGGCTTAGACATTCCAGAACTTAACGAGGATATAAAATTTCACAACAGAAATGGACCCGTCATCATCATTCATCCTCCTTATCGCACGCGTATTTCCGAGAGTTTCCTGCAAGCTGGCGTCAAGATGGGATACGAAATTCTAAACTACAACGGGAGGAACCAGACCGGATTCTCCTTCGAACAGACCATGAAGAACGGCCAACGGATGAACAGTAACAGAGCCTACGTGCGTCCAGCGAGGCACCGGCAGAACCTGGTCGTATCGAAGCACAGCTTGGTCAGTGAAATTTTAAGAGACAAAGTCACCAAGAGAGCCTATGGCGTAAAGTTCCGGAAGATACGGAAACAGATGACGGTTCTAGCGAGGAAGGAAGTGATCTAGTGCGCAGGCGCAATAGGTTTACCGCAGCTGCTGATGCTATCGGGGGTCGGTCCTCGGGATCATCTTAAGAAAATGGGAATAGAGCCGATCCAGGACGCTCCGGTTGGTGACAATTTTCAGGATCACCTGTTCTACGGCGGTCTGGTATTTCCAATCGATGAACCGATATCGATTTTAAGAAAAGATGTTCTCAATCGATTCAAGGAATATTTGTTAAGTACGTGATTGCGAAAACTGGTCCGTTGACTACACCAGAGGGAACCAAGGCTCTGGCCTTTATCGACGTCAGTGGCACACCGGAAACGAAGAATTATCCTGACATGGAGCTACTGCTGAGCAGCAGTTCTCTTCTCGGTGATTCAACAATCCGAATTGCACTCGGTATCAGTGATGAACTGTGGAAAGAGACATTTGCCAAGTACGAAGGACACCATTCCTAGATTGTCGCGCCAATAATCCTCAGACCCAAGAATCGAGGTCTTATACCTCTCAGGGACAAGAGCATCTCCAGCAAGCCCAAGATCGTAGCGAACTACATGGATGATCCTGATGACGTCAGGGTCCTCATAGCTGAGATCAGAGCCACCATTGCTCTGAGCGAAACAAACCCAATGCGTAAGCTTGGCTCGCGACTGATTGACGTTGTGCTTCCCTCCTGCGAGCAGCATCCATTTAACTCCGATGCCTATTGGGAATGTGCGTTGCGCACTTGGACCTTGACCCTCTATCGATACTCCGGCACCTGCAAAATGCGACCGTGGAACGATTCGACGGCTGTTGTCGATCCTATACTAAGGGTAACTTTGACGATAGCCATTATTGTAAACAGTCTGTTTTTACACGGATAGATAGACACGGAAGACCTCATTGAGCACTCTTGATCTTTCAGGTGATCGGTATCAAAGGACTTCGAGTGGCAGATGCATCTATAATACCCGAAATTCCATCGGCTCACCTAAGTGTACCAACTTACATGATAGCCGAAAAGTTGGCAGACATGGCCAAGCAGGACTGGGGTTATCCCACGGATCCACTTCCATCATAAATAATGAACGAGATCGAAAGGGAAATCAAGGTGCTCCCAAGCTTGAATTTAAACCTGGTACCAACTGCCATTGTTTAGCTCGTAACGGGTGAAGACACGAGACATCCCTGACATGGAATTTCACTGATTTTCTCCAAATAGCCAATAACTAATCACGACGTATTAACAATAGCATTCGTGATGGAGTTCGCAGCTACTTAAGCCAAAATATGCCCGCAATGTAAAATTTCCAAAATTCTTGACTGTCCGAAATAAATGGGCCTTTAGACAAAAATTCCTATCTCTAATTCACAATTCTAAACCATTAGACAGTCTTTATAATTGTCTAGTCGCAAAAATACAATTAACAAAATAAAGCAAGGAAATTTGCGCAAGGGTGCAGCTGCAGCTGCTTCCATGTCTGACGATTATGTTGCGTCGTATTGGATTCTATGAATGTCACGAGTGTCACGAGTCATCCAATTAATCCGTAGCTATCATATTTAGAAATATCAACATGTCTTATGTTCGATAAGTCACAGTCTAACGATAATATTACAGTTTCTACGTGAGTGAATGTGTTCACAGACGCAAACGCCCGCCAATTTCCTTTTCTACTGCCATTGTTTTCTTTTGGTGATGATTGGAACTTACTTAAAATGATGATATTTCTAAATATTTAATATTTATTTTCTCGAGAACGCTGCAACCGATTTCATTCGGGCAAATTGCATTTTGTTCTATTTTCAACGGAGAATATGTCAGTGCCCATTGGGGAATAAGTCGTGGAACACCCTGTATATATAATTTTGAAAAATGCAGCAGTGCTAACTATTTATTTCGGACTAATTAGCGTTTGCTCTATGAAGTAATAACTCCTAGAGGCACATACATATAAGCTCTCCAATTTTATAAACTTCTGCCTCGTCCTGAAGTGACGAGAGTATTCAGTCTTTAAAGGGGTAATGGTTTAAATTGGATTGGAAAAATTATTAACTCTCTGCTAGCCGCGTGAATTTTATTGACGAGTTCAAGCGTGTGGTAGTTGTAGATAATTCTAATTTATTATGAAACAGAACGCCAGTTTTTACGTTTTCTTTTATCTTTTTTTTGAGTTTCACGGGCATAGTCCTAACACGAATTCTCCATCGAGCACGAGAAACGGTCTACAAGTGTAGACCAAGCTTTTAACGAAGGGTTAAATGTGAGATTTAACAGTCCCTGAATTGCTACGAAATATGGAACCAGTAGAGAGAAGGATACATAAATTTTAAGAAGTCTTGCAGGCACGTCTGTAGATGTAAGAATATTTAAAAAATGCAAATAAAAATAAAAGAAACAATGGATATGAAATAGGTAGTAGTAAATTGGCCATAGTAGTCCATTCCTAAGTTTCCCCTGTTCAGTGCTGATAGGCCAATAGTTGTGAAATTTACTGTTAATTGTTTTCAAATTTAAATAAAAAAATTTTTAAAATTGGAATAAATGTTTTTATTTCTAAAACATCAATCCGAGTACCTATATAAAGTTAGATGTGAACATCTTGTTGAAACCCTTTTATTTAAAAAATTGAAAATAAAAATGTATATGCAATCATAGATATTACATTTACAGTCAGTGAGTTTTTCTTTAAATATACGGTATACGTTTTTATTATTGTCTTTTCCAGATCTAACGTAAGTGAAGCAAAGGAAAATGAAACAGAGTATACGATGATTACGGGACGGTTTCAAAGGGCCTGCAATCAGTCGTGAGCGACACCAATACTGCTTGCGGTTGACTGATGAAAGAGGATAATGGTATCGACGTCAAAGTAAAGAGAGTAAATAAAGGGATAAAGAACTGAGTGGACAGCAGCAAACCAGGCTATTGATAAAAATGGACAAGATGGACTCTTTTCAATACGTCATATTAAAATCCTCAACAAAGTTACTCGTCACACTTTTGTCATTAATGAGTGAACGTTGTTTGAAAGCTGTGTTTTACAATAGTTTTTCGTATTTTGAGAGGGAAAATATTGGGTTGGCATGAAAGTAATGAGACACTTGGTTTATGTTCCACATATTCTATTATCTTTGTCATACAAGAAGCTTAGTCGATAATGTAATCTCCATGAGTATCTAAGACCTGTTGCCAACGACTGGACAAAGTTTGGATATGATCAAAAATAATTAATTTAAAAAAGCACATGTGTCGAGTTTTCTAGAGTGTCTCATTACTTTCATGTCAACCCAATAAATATTTAGAGAAAAAGGCAAATCTTATGAGAAAGTTTAATTTTTACTTTAAAAAAAATGTTAATTAGCCTAAATTCATTCGTACGTTATAAATATGATCAATACAATTTCGCAGACGTAAAATTAGCTTTTCTTTATTACTTTTGCGCGAAGGAATTTTGAAATTTCTCTAAAGCACTACAAAGAAAATCGATAAGTAGCTTTATAAATAATTCTAAAAAGACAAACAAATCAATATCTTTCATGAAAATGATGCAGTGACGTAAATCATAAAAACAGTATTATGAATTTGAAGATCTCGAACAAAATTTAGCACATGATGGTTTCAAAATCTCCAAAAGCAAAATGTTTGTTTTTAATTCTGTATGCACATGAATGTGTGAGCTCAGGGGAGCAACCCTGAAAGGTAACTACAAATTAATAATCGGTATTAAATATCAGTATTAAAATATACATTTTATAAAAAATACAAATAAAATGAAACAATATGGCTGACGGTGGCAGCACAAACTTCATAAGGTAAAATCGTAGTATGTATTATTAGTTATTTTCATTTATCGAAAACAATTCAATCTATTAAATTAAGATGGGTCTTTTTTTCTAAAACGTCGAAATTTTTTAATCACTTTTTCAAAATGCGATAATATAACGATATTACTTTTCATTGAAAACGCAAATTCTTTAAGTATACTCGTATGCACTCTAGCATCTATAATCTGTTTATGAGTACAGTATGGTTATTTGGCAGTTCGCAAACAATGCAATCCTTAATAAATCACACATAACCTGCCATAAAGTGACGAAAAGATATGCTAAAATGGAAAGATTAAATATATTTCAGGGCAAGGTTATGCACATGCATACTTTGTAATGAAAATTTTGTGGAGAATCATGTGTGGCTTGCTAGAGATTTTATTACTTTCGAATTATTAAAAAAACAAATTGAACTCGTGAATCGACTATAATTATGAAAATATTTTAACATATTGGTATATGGGTAATAGTAAACGAGCAATGATAAATATCGATTTACAGTTTTTATTCATTGAAACATTTCGGATTTTAGCTCTCGTTTCTTCGTGACTATGCATATAACCAGTCTGTAGCCGTTTCAACTCAAATTGCATAATACGATACCAAATAAACAATTTTCCTACCTAGAAATTCACATGTTCAGTGCGCCCACAAAACAGTTCTAACTTGAGCAAACAAAATTTTCCAAAACAATTCCAAATTTTTAATGATTATTAACTCTGTGAGCACTCAAGGGATTCATGTGCTTACATTTGCGAGCTGTCTTATTTATTATATTTTTCTAGAAGTCCCTGAAATTTAGGCCAGTATCATAGTACATGCATATTTAATATTGTTTTATAGAACTAGTAATATCAATAATACTCAATAAATAAGAAAATACTGAAAATTATACACATAAAATAAAATTTATTTAATTTTATATTTTAAATAACTCATTCTAGAGGACTTAACCCAGTACCGAAAAAGCTCACCGTTCAAAGGGTTAATTCAATTTGCCTTTCGAAATCGTGCATCGTCTCGTCATGTCCCATAGTGTAGTCTCGTTTTTTATTATTCGGTGATGAGTTTCCAAATACCACATCACAGTGCCGCGCATGATGACGAAACTTCTACTTTAATTCCATTACCTTTTAAAGGTATCTACCAGCCACCAGCATCACTCACACTCTTTAACCACATTCGGAAAACCGCATCGCTGTCCCCAAATCTAGCCAGAGCACTCTCTTTCACCGCAAATTTCCCAAAATTTCTATTCAATTTCCAATAGCTAAATACGCCGCAGCTTCTCGATTCACACGACAAACACAATAGTTATCAAGACATAATCAGCAGGTAATCGCGATTTTGATGCACGATCCTAGAAATAGAAGCGTGAAACGAGATTCATGGACTTTAAAATAACGTTTGAAAATACAAAGTGTTAGGATGTCGAACAAAAGACATGTGTATCCAGCTTAGTAATAACGTGAAGCAATTTTGCAAACGACAGTTTGGTTTATGCAACCAGCCACCATTTCTATTGCAATCGATGAGAGTCCACTAAAGATAGCTATAGCAAAGGGTTAGGTTGCATATGGTCAGAAAACTTACTATGCAAGGTATATATGTATATAGAATACTGAGGCGACAAGTCCACAGGGGATGTGATTGTTAGATGCGCAGCGGGGCAAAGGATACAATGTCGATAAGCACGAGCGCCGTATTATCGACATTATACGTAATCGAACGATGCAATGCAATGTTCCAAAGATGTGGGGATTCGATACTTCGGTGCATGCTGTGGGCAGGGGGGAGGTTCAGCGGCGTGGGAGAAAACTAGTAGTGCAATGTGTGCCTGTATCGTGCAAGGATACAGTCATAATCCCATAGGTCGATCCCGGTGCATTATTGGAAGTCGCAGATGCACTAGAGTGGAGGATGCGTAACCCGCGCATGCAAAGAGTATTATTGCTTCACCGCTTACATATGCTCGTTTAGGTACATTTATGAATGCAATAAATTCCTTAACCTTCTACTGTCTACGAATATCTAGATACCTCATTCCCTGGCTTCAAGTAGTTACCGACATCCGCTAATGCCCTGTCATCACTGAAGATTAGGAGAGGGTTGAAAAAGCGATACTGGATGGGAACGGGGGGTGACTTCGTGTTGTGTCTTGAATCATAAAGCGGAAGGGGATGGAACGAGATCTAAAGGAGGGGAGGAGGGGGTTACCCCGATGATGAGGAATTCTAATTCCAAAATTCTTACCATACATCACTGAGATTCCTTGGGTTGCCGACGTCGACTTCCTATCCACATTAATGCACATCTCACGACGATCGTTATCTCTCCTGAATGGGTTACTTGCGCATCTATTATATTTATTATTATTATTTCAGTGTAACAGTATCAGTAAATACATTTTTTCGAGAAGACAGCTTTATTAGGACCGTACTACAAAAGTGCCGACGTACATAAAGTTGTGCATTCCATATTCGAATTTCAGTATAAGGCTCTTAACAACTTCAAGTCTACCTTATTGATATTGATCTTTTCATTATAACATTTTTTTTTCTCGAAAATACCGAACAGAACTACGTTGTAATTTTTGCCATTAGGTTCATGGAAAATTTTTGATTTTAATAATAAAAATTTATTGCACCCATCATTATATGTATATATAATTTCATAAGTTAGCATCGTGACAGAAGATCATATTTCGTCATTGCATTTTAATTGCAAAGAGCGTAAGTGTTATCCTGTGTGTGTATGCATGCCGAGTAAGAGGGGG